TATATTAGGATACTACGCAAGTATACGTATCGTTATCAAGTAATATAAGACTTTTTTTATTAAGACCTGAATGTCAAACCCACAGAGAAAATACACAATATGCACAAACTTTTTATTTTAAAAAGACAATTAATTAAACTATAAATATTTTTTCAATAAGTAAAATTCAATTCTTTTTGGTATTTTTGATAGACAAAACAATAAAATTTCTTAAGATAACTTGAGTTTATGTAAAAGAAAATATCTTTCTCCTTATCATGAATCAGTAACAAGTATATGATTTCTGTTGTGGAAGTATGCAAATTGTGTTGTGCCGGATAGGAACAATAATATTCTTTACCCTTACTAGAGATGCTATAAAAAACATTGGCTGATTTAAAGTTTGAATAGTTCTGAAGACCGGCTAAGTATAAAAGATACCAGCTCTCACTCTAGAGTTCCCTCGATTCTCTTCACCTGGGGGCTAACATCTCGTATCAAAACTTAAAACAATAAACCAAGTTCGAGGCTTTAACCTGTCACATTAAAGTTCTCTAACTCTACACCCTCAAAGTTTATTTCCATATTTATTTGCACTCAATCATATGAATTACATTCTCATTCATACAATCTAAAAAAATTAGAGGCGTGTTGCTTACCTTATCGTTGCAGTCATTTATAAGCGTCAAGCAACACCCCCTCCCTAAGTTTTCTGCTCATCACATTAATTTCATAACAACCCAATTCCACTCTTGACCAAATACCTACTCTCTCTTATTTCTCTACAATTTTTTTAATTGTTTTTGAACTCAATGAATGAGTCCTAACCAACTTTTTCCTTTTCTTTTATTTCCCGAAACCTTAAATGCACGCGACAACTGAAGTGAGGTAACATTCTCTTTGTTTTTTTTGTTTTTAAAACTCTTTAATGCATGCAACAACATAAAGAGAGGTAAGGGAAAAATAAATATTAGCTAAAATCGACTTTTACAAAGTCGATTATGTCATTTGTAGATTTATTTTTGAAAAATAGTTTTATTAAATAAATTTTTAATAGCTTTTGTTTCAAGAAATTCTTCAATATGTATTTAAAATGGTTCCTTCAAACAACTAATTATGTTGTAGGTAGCTTAGCTTTAATAAATTGTGCTCCTTTGATCAATTATATAAGTTTTAAGTGATTTTTTCAATCCAAAACTATCAATGAGATTTTGGAGCAATGATGAAAATTAGAGATGGAATATGAGTTATCAATGCACCTTCTTACAAAGGGTATCAACGAAGAGTAATAGCATCCTCATATACAAATGGCCATATATTTGAAGCAAGAGAGTTGAAAGCTTTATATCTATGTATAGCATCCTCATATACAAATGGCCATATATTTGAAGCAAGAGAGTTGAAAGCTTTATATCTATGTATAGCATCCTCATATACAAATGGCCATATATTTGAAGCAAGAGAGTTGAAAGCTTTATATCTATGTATGGACAAAAAAAGATAACGATAATAACAAATAATGTATGGTTGTGTTCCCTACAAAGTAAAAAAATATTGTGAATAATTATTCAAATACTCATCCAATTTTAATTAATAATAGCTTCGAGATAAAATATAAATTATTCGTCCTTGTAGAAAAGTAAAACATGCGAAGAAAAAAGAAATTAGGGATAATTATTTTCGAGCAATTCATGACAACTACAAGTGAGTTTCTACCCTAAGAACATAGCTTATTAATAATAATTATGTATGTAATTTTAATGTAAACTATAATAGGTAGGATAATTCATTTAAAATGTTTTATGTTATTTTTATTGTGTGAATTTATGGTCTCATAGTTATTTTTAGGTATCTTGTATTCATTTTCAAGAACAACGACGACAATTGAATGCGTGTTTTAGCAATATTTTCATCAGGATTTTGGTAAGAGTTATATAAGAATATGCATTGAGACACCACAAGGGCGTTTTGCAGCACTTTGGAGGTTTCTTCTAGTTAGAGTTGTGATTTATATTTCAAACCCTAGGGGTTTATTGCTTCATTTGGGGGGAAAACTCCTAGGGCCACTTTTACTTTGAGAATTGAGAAGTTGTGTATGAGGGAGAGATTGAGTGTTATCGTGTGAGGAAGAATGTGGAGATTTTTTCATGGTACGGTGGGACTTGATGTTTTGCAAAGTGCATTTGGCTTTGTTGTACATCTTTGTACTTTCTCTAACTATATCTTCAATGCATTTAGTGAAACCTTCCATGTTTTTCTATCTCATGTATCGTAGCTATTTTTTTATCTTGATCCTGTGATGTAATGATAGGGTTTTCTTGTTGTTTTTATCGTTAGTTTTTTCCCCTCAAACATTTTCCATAACATTTTGATCATTGTTTACTCCTAATTTGGCCAATTCAGAAGTTAATACCCCTCATGATTTGTCTTCTAGTCGCTGATTAGAAAAACAAGTGGTTTAACATACATTAGCCGAGTGAAATAAATATATGCTCATTAAAGAATTGCAAACTAGATAACATATCTTACAAATCACTGTAAACGTTGTATGGTTATGCCCCTATTAACTGTAATATGATTTGCAACCTTTCTTATGACCTGTACATAAACTTAATAGGATTTGATCCCTTATTGTCAACTATCACGTAGGAGAACTCATATGAAAAGTATTGAGAGGATACTATAGGACTTAAAGTTGCTCCCTGCCTTTTATGTCACAACCAATTATGTTTATGGCTTTTTTTATTTGTTTTATTTTTTTATTTTTAGGAATGTTAGGATTTTCATCCATATTACTCTAATAACTTCAAATTAGATTTAGTGGTTTAGTACACCAGAGTTTGTCATAATAGAAAATTTTTGACTAATTTCTTCATAGAATCGATATGCAGATTCTTTATCCATACATTATTTAATCGACACATATACTTGGGTGATTGACCGACTGCTTCACAAGAATTTTGGGCATCAATCACTATAATTGAATTCATCGAACTAAATTAAAATGGAGTAAAATTTAATTTTAGGAGGATTACAAGCAACTTTTATGGTAACAATAAGCTGGTATTTTAAAGACTTGGTTAACAAAAATCAAAATATTCGGTTAATAATCTACACAAATATAATTTATTAATTAATATTTATTAATTAGATAGTGAATGTCTAAAATTGGAAAGAGTAATACAAATTTTGTACAAAATAAATTGACCAAGCCAGTGCATCACACATTCAGACTGTACCGTGATTTTCTGGGGCGCCTGAGACCCGTGCTGCTGACAACAGAGGCAGCGGTATTGGCGACCGCCGGCGGATTCCCGGCGTCATCTTTTGTTATCATTGAATTCTAGCAAGCTAGCAGCCACAGCTGAAAGACGGAGCCGTCGGCAGGTGGATAATGACAGCAAAACCCCATCGCCTTCACCAAAGTATTAAACCCTTTTCAACTCTCTAAAAAAGAACCTTATGTGCATCTAATATGTCGATAATCATCTTCATTATATAGCCTTAGTGGCAGTATTGAGCTCCGCTAAGAAGCCACGGATGATGAGCACCAACTCTGCCATGAATGAGGAATTCGCAAAGCACGCCCAGCACCTTAACCAACTTGTATGTTTCTACTTCGAGTCATTTTTTTTTTCCTGAAATATCTATTTCCTCTAAGTTCTGGGCTCCGGTGTCAACATTTTCTTTCTCCGTTTAGTAGCATGTAAATTTGCCTTGCAATTGTTATTTGATGGATATTCTCTGGACTACCTTTAATGCTCTTTTTCTTGAAAAAATATTTGTTCAGGAGGCTCCCAAAAAAGTGTATTACGATGGGCCATTTGACAAGTGACACCCCAAAATTGAAGTACTAATGCATCAGGACTCCTATTTGTTCCTTTTTCTTAAGCCAGGAGATAGTTCCACATATATTATGAATTATGAAGAAGGGTCAAATCTCCAAAAGTTCTTCGTCATTCTATTTCATTATAGGCAGGCAGCGGATGCAACAACATAAAAAATATGATAAAAGTATTATATGCGTCGATGAAACTAATCACGATGAAAAACACATCGGGAAAAGACTATGCAAAGAAATCATTGATCTTCTAAAAAGTTTACAACTTTATTTTCTCATCACATCCAGATTTAGTCTTAATAAAGAAACATCCATTATCAACGTACTTCAGTTATTTTTTGCACTATTTAAACTTTATTTTCTTAAATTTATTTACATGCTAAAGCTTGTAAGCAATTCTCATGTTTGGTTCTAGGTTATTTATCAGCTCAATTTAACGAAAGCTTATTTTTTTCATCCATTTACTATTTTGAGCCATTTTCTAACTGAGTAAAACTAATCATGATTTTTCCTTTCTGAGTGGTAACAGTTAGGATAATGTAAGAGAGATGGAAACCACACTAAAGTTGCTTTGCTTTTTTGCTTTTTTTACCTTTATAATTTCCCCCTATGTGGTCATCATCTTCGAGGGTTCCAGTGCCCAATTTGTCTTCTACAACTTTGTTTGGATTTATAATTTATTTGTTGTTAATTGGCTTTTCCTTGTTTAGTCTTCGTAGCTAGGGTTTGGAGTTGAGTGATTCCTTATACATCATCATTTTTTAATATGTCACATTCGTGTTTTTATTATGTGATTCTCATTAATGAGGTTTTTTTGTTGGTACTTCTTAGACTCGCATGTTGTGAGTTGTATATTTGAAATTTAAAATAGAAGAACAATCATTGACGAAGCAAAAAAATAAAGCGAGAAAATTCACTTCAGAAAATAGTACACAGCGGAAAACATAGATTTACGTGGTTCGGTAAATTGTCTATGTCCACGGAGTTGCAGAGGATTTTAGTACTTGAGGAATTTGCACCGGTCAATTGTCTCGACTTACAAGTGGGATCTCTCACTTCGTTGCTCTCTCTCTTCTTCTCTCTCTACACCGAGATACACCAAAGAAGATAAACTTACAAGAGAAAAAGACTCAAGTCTTCTTCTGCCACAAGCCACCAAAACGAAGTCAAGAGAGAACAATCTTCTTCTCTTCTTTCTTCTTCCTTCTATCGCAAGGAACTACTGCTTGCACCTTTCTTTCTCTATCCCAAGGAAGCCCGAAGAAGAACACCAAAAAAGACCGTGTCATAAACTAAATCTGAAGGAGAGCTGCTCTTTTTATCGCGAAAAGGAGGCAGAGAGGCGACGTTTCACGAAACAACAGAGAGTCGCGACTATACGCGATCGGACGAAGAGAAGCTTTGCTTCGCGCGCGTGGGAGCAAGTGGAGGCGGGAGCGAGAAGGTGAGATCGGGCTCCGACTAACAAATCTCCCACTTGAAGACCGATACACAGACCACAACGTCTTCTTCCTCAAACTGAGATCTTCCACTGGTGGCGTTGTCTTTTTCTTCAGACATGGATCCTCCACCTCTGCAACTCAAATCCCCTGTCTTCACACCAGAGACCAACTGAAGCTGTGCACAACTTCAATTTCTTAAGAGTAACACCCTTAGTCAACATATCAACAGGGTTCACATAGCCTTGTACCTCTAAGCTACTTCCTAACTTCCACTGCATGAGCAATATCCTGTCTCAGTTGAAATTCTTTTTCAACAAGTCTAGCCTTGTACCTCTTACTGTCATCAAACTCAGTCTTCACCTGGTACACCCACTTGTTGTGTAATGCATTCTTCTTTGGTGGAAGTTTTCCCACCTCCCACTTGCTCGAACTTTCATCTTGCAAGATTTCTTCATAGTTCTGTGATTCTTCACCATCTGTCTGTGGAACAATAGGAATGAGTACCCCAGACCCACTCTCTACCACATTCAACGCTTCTCCATCTGCAAGATAAACTTTTCTAAAGTCATCTGCAACATAATTTCGTATCAATTCCCGATGGAATGTTGTATGGAAAGAAGCCCCTGAATCTAATATATAGTTATCAGCAGAACTATGAACTACCAGCAATAGTGCATCTTGTGCTTCTTCAGTTGCCACATTTGCATTGCATTCTCCATCTTCTTAGGATTTTTCCTCTTTATGTTGCCAGCCTTGCCACAATTCCAGCAGGTTGCATGCTGACCAGACTTTGATTTTGATCTCCCTCTATTTGAGTTCCTCTCCTGCCATCTCCTTTTGAAATCAAAATTAAGTGCCGAAGTCGAACATGAGATCTCATCATAATCTTTTTTGCGCATTTCCCTAGCCAAAATTAAATCACGAATATCATCACATTTTAGTTTAGATTTACCTGCAGAACAGTTAATTGTCATTTTCATGGTTTCCCAACTATTTGATAATGATGCCAAAAATATCAGAGCACGTATCTTATCATCAAAATCAATTTCAACAGACGATAATTGATTTGCGATAGTATTGAAATCATTCAGGTGTTGAGCAACATAAACACTTTCCGCCATCTTTAAGATTAATAACTTCTTCAAGTACACCTTATTATTCGCCGATGACTTTTCATACATACCTGATAAGAATGCTATGAGATTTGCAGTTGTCCTCTCCTTGACGACGTTGTGTGCAACGAATATCGATAAGGTCAATTGAATAACCCCCAGAACTTGTCGATCAAACAATTTCCATTCAGTTTCATCCATCTTTTCAGGTTTTTTTCCCCTAATAACGGAAGATGAAATTTCTTTGCATAGAGATAGTACTATATCTGTATTCTCCAATAACCAAAATCTGTGCTATCAAATTTCTCAATCCTGAAACCCTCACTTCATCTGCAACTATCATTCTTCCTTAGATTCGAACAAAACTCTGATATCAGTTGTTGTGATTTGTATATATGAAATTTAAAATAAAAGAACGATCTTTGACGAAACGAAAAAATAAAATGAGAAAATTTACTTCAGAAAACTGTACACAACGGAACATAGATTTATGTGATTCGGCAAATTGCCTACGTCCACGGAGTTGCAGAGGATTTTACTACTTGAAAAATTTACACAAATCGGTCGTCTCGACTTACAATTGAGATCTCTCACTTCGTTGCTCTCTCTCTTCTTCTCTCTCTACATCGAGATACATCGAAGAAAATAAATTTACAAGAGAAATAATTCTAATTTCTCTTCTGCCACAAACCACCAAAAAGAAACCAGGGGAGAACAATCTTTTTAGGAGTACAATCTTCTTATTCTTCTTTCTTCTTTCTTCTACCGCAAGGAACTACTGCTTGCACTTCTCTTTCTCAATCCCGAGAAAGCCCAAAGAGGAGGCCCAAAAAGAATACCAAAAAGGGCCGTGTTGTAAACTAAATCTGAAGGAGAGCCGCTCTTTTTATCGCGAAGAGAAGGCGGAGAGGCGACGTTTCGCGAAACAGCAGGGAGTCGCGACTATTTGAGATTGGACGAAGTGAAGCTTTGTTTCGCGCACACAGGAGCAGTCGAAGGCGGGAGCGGGAAGACGGGATCGGGCTCCAGCTAACATCCCAGACTTAATTTTCTTGAGTGCTCACCTCCTCTGAGATCTCTCTGCAAGCCAGGGTTTGCTGGGGATTTTTGTATCCCCCCTAAGATCATAGATTTCCCTTATTGTCTGCTTCCACTTAAAAAAAATCAAACAACTTCACCATCTTATATCAAGTTATCTTTTAAACTAAGTGGCTTATCGCTTCATATCTTTAGTTTCAAAAGCATATGGCTTTTGTTCGCTTTGCTTACATAAATAGGTGGCCAATTAATGTTAGGAGGCATGGAGACATAAGGATGCTCAAGGGTTGTCTTATTGTATCAAATACTCGCGACACTTGGATACTCAATACACCGGATTTCACGTTACACATTGCATAATGTGTCTTATTATTTAATTTGTCCAAGTAAGTTGTCAGAGATGTAAATTGCGGAAATAAATTCTAGAAATCTGAAACAAAACTTTGAATAGAAGCGTTAAAAATAAGAAAACACAAAAAACATAAATTTAATGTGGCAAAACTTGCGAAAAAAAAAAGCCATGAAGTCACACCATCTCAAGAAATTAACTATGAAGCAAAAGAGCGAAGAATAGTACAAATTACACCACACTTAAGCCTCTTCACATTTTTGGACACCAAAGTACACTTATACTCCACTCATTGCACAAGAGAATTCAAAATCCCACAAAAAAAAATCTCAGAAAGAACTCTTACAATGGACTCACACTTTGTAGTGTTGCGACACCCTAAAATGGTACACAACATCATTCTCTTAGGTTTCAACACAAACTTTCCTTCGGGAGTAGTGTTGCGGTGCAAAGACAGCACTTCGACGATGTTGCAGTAACATCGTGGTGCTGATACTGCAGCTTTGCAGGTACAATTCTAACGCACCATGCACGAATTTTTTTTAATGGGCAACCCCCCCGGTACCCTCCTAACAAACTCATCACCGAACTTGATCGGTGAAAATGAAAGCTTTGAGTATGATTTGACAATTGATGGACACAATCAGGCTCCATATAATAATACAAATCCCAACACTATTAGACATCTCTTGTATGCCATTGATAAGAAGAGCGAACTTCAACCATAGGGCCACCAGATTAGACATTATAACTTGACACACTAAAAAACTCAAACTCTTCTTTGCAAGGAGCTTGAAGTTAGGATGGTGGGCAGCACTGCTATCATCAATAACAAAAGTTGTCTTCTTTAATACAAATCCCAACACATTAAAAAATTTCAAACAGTCATATAAAGCTTCAACATAAAATTAGCATAAGTTGGCAGGCATAGGCAAAACACAAACAATGATAAATATTAACATGCAAGCTCGAAAATCAACTCATTCGCTCTTCTTATCAATGGCATACAAGAGATGTCTAATAGTGTTGGGATTTGTATTATTATATGGAGCCTGATTGTGACTAGATAGTGCATAAACTAAATAAGCATCTTTTTTAAATACACATTAATTATTGCACCAAAGTTGTTACCTAAACCATACATAATATATAGTTGTGTTGTAAGTGCAATACCACATGAAGCTCCATTCCATTCCCCAATGATTGAAAAAATATTATGAAAATTGTAGAGCTACATAGATTGAAGATATTACACTATAAAAACTGTTAATTTTTGATAATTAAGCGGAATTATTTTATTGATATAGAAATGATGTATAAATACACCTTACATGAATCCTAGAATAGAAAATACAAGAAAAAAAAATAATAGGAAAAGAAAGATATAACACCTATATCTCTAATTAATTAATTCTTAATAATTACTTCAATATAAAGAAAAAAACATAAAATAGGAAAGAAAAGAAAAAGAAAATAACAGGAAAAGAAAGATATAACACCATTATCTACATTAATCAATTTCTAATAATTACTTGGAGATAAATGAAACAACATAAATAGAAAAGGAAATAAGTTCAATTCAAAATAATCCAATCCTTATAACTTCTAGCACTTTCTCTCAAATTGAAACGTGGATGTCAATTATGTTCAACTTGGATTTGAAATCATCAAACAACGGGTGAGGAAGATCCTTTGTGATGGAGAACTTAAGGCATTCATCCCATACGTGGTAATCAAATCCCAAAAGCATTTAGGGATACTTTTAGTTGACGACGGTTTTCTTTAATTGCAGTTTATGCAATATTTGCAGGTAGGCTAAAAGCTTATACAAGTAATGCTACATAAAAGTTTATGAGGAAATATACAATCTACAAGGAAATCTGCAGGTTATGGCTGCAGGGAAAAGAAAGAACACCTGCTGGAAAAGTTGTTGGGAATGACCTACAGGTAAAAAAGAACACTTGTGGGTATGGTTGCATGTAAAAAGGAAGAACACCTGCAGGGTATGGCTGGAGGAAAAGGAAGCAAACTTGTGAAAGCTGCAGGTAAGGGTGAGCATTCGGTCGGTTCGGATGAATCGGTTTTAAAATTGGTCAAACCGATTCTAACGAAAATCTATAATCCAGAAAACCGAACCAATCTAAATTTAGATAAAACCGAACCAAAATTTAATTCGGTTTAAACATCTCTATTATGAAAAAGTCGAAATTTGGCAAATAACAAGCATTACAAATCACTCATTTTATTCACATAATATCTGTTTGATTTCATGAATCATCTATTTATTTCAATCAAATGTTACATATAATAATTTCCTTGATTTTTTTTAGTTTATTTCACTTGAATTTAAAATATAATAAAATTTTTTAATAATATTTCAATTTTTTAGTTTGTTCGGTTGAATAAAATTTAAAACCAAACCGAAAACTGAAAATCAAATATTTAAGTTTTAAAAATTGAAAACCGAAATCCAATTTTGATACCGAATCGAACCAACCAAACTTGTTCTGTTCGGTTCAGTTTTTCGGTTTTGATCAAATAATGCACACCCCTAGCTGCAGGTGCAAGGAAGAACACCTGCAGAGAAAGCTGCAGGGTATGGTCCTGTAGGTAAAAAGGAAGAACACGAAGAACAATTGTAGGAATGTTGCAAGGTATGTTTTGCTGGAAAAAAAAGAACACCTGCAGGGTATGACCTGTAGGTAAAAGAGAATAGGGAAAGCTACATGACATAATAGGTATTTGGATCTGATCGGTTTAGAAGCTCCAACACTCACACTAGCTTGCTTACCAATACTAGAGAATGGTTGTTTTCGTTCTAGTAAGGTGGTAAGCCCAACCATCAGGTCTTATAGCTTCACGTGTTTTAACAAGCTCATAAGATCTCCCAACTTCTTCCACATTAGAAGTTTCTCTACCACCAATGGTCATGCACATCATGGATTGGAATTGCGACTGATTTGCAAAGCAAACCCAAAAATAACATTTTTGGTAGCCCCAATTCTGCACGAATTTCAACACCTTGCATACGACTGTATGCATTACTAGTGCAGCATTCGATAACAAATCCAATCACAAGATCGACCCATAGTCCAATTGCAACACAAAAAAACAACTCCCAGTTCTTTACTTCCTGGACACCAAAATTAAAGCTAGTGGACAAAGATGGAAGAGCCAACCAACTAACAATTGCAATCCCAACATTCATCAGAGCAGTGGAATTTATGAGCTGCCTCTTAAGCACTTACTCAATTTCTTGAACTACTATGATCTCAAAAAAGTCAGTTGCAAAAGGAGTTGTGATCAAACACATGATACTGCCCATGGAAAGAACATCCCAGTTAAATCGTGATTAATTCAAAAAAAAAATAAAAAAATAACAAGTGCAGCATAGGAAGACTCGGCATATAAAACAAAAAGATCTGAACTCTTGCTTAATTTTTCTTTTTCTTGTGATTTTCTTGTGCGTGGAGTGTTTGGTAGAAGTTTTGGCTGCTTACAGGAATTTCAGCACCGACAGGAAGGAGATCCAGATGTAGCGGAAAGACTGCAAGAAGACAGATCTCCACTAAGGAAGCCTGCAATAATTTGCGACATGCTGGAAGTTTTTCAACTGACAGAGATGATTTTCGGCTGCTAGGGACTTGTAGGGAGAGGGTTCTGATGGCTAGGGCTTGCAAAAAGGAGTTCCGACGGCTAGGGCTTGCAGGTAGAGAAATTTTCTGCCGTCTAGGGCCTGCAGGGAGAGGTTAGTTCTTGCAAGAAGGAGTTCCGGCTGCTAGGTCCTGCAGGGAGAGGAAGTTTTTTGACTTCTAAGGCCTGGAAGGAGAGGGTTCAGGCAACTTGTTCTTGTAGGAAGGAGTTCAGTCGGCTAGGTTATGTAGGGAGGAAGTTTTCTGTTGTAGGAGATCTACTCCTTCGCTGGAGACTCAAGGGCTTGTTTCAAGACTCTTATACTATGTTGATTTCGAGAATTAAGCGGAATTATTTTATTGATATAAAAAAGGAATATAAATATACCTTACATGAATCCTAGAATATGAAATACAAGAAAAAAGAAATAACAGGAAGAAATATATATATGACACCTATATTTTCAAATAATCAATTCTAAATAATTATTTGGAGATAAAGGAACAACTTAAAATAGGAAAGACAAAAAAAAAAAGGAAATAGCATAAAAGAAAGATATAACACCTACATCTCCAATTAATCAAATTCTAATAATTATTTGGAGATAAATGAAACGACATAAAATAGGAAATGAAATAAATTCAATTCAGCGAAATAATCCAATCCAGCGAAATAATACAATCCAATTAAATAATCAAATCCTCATAATTTCTAATGTAAACAATTCCATATTTTAGAGGAACATAAAAAAATTATCAACATATCAAACGTCTTTGAATGCTTGTGATATATTTAGACACTAGACAATGTCCAAAGCTAATTTTTTTTATTTGATTTGATCTGAGGTATGTACCAGGTAGTA